CACTCAAAGACGCTTCACATGTCATTATAAATTCATTCCATAAACAGTGGTGATAAAGTACTACTGTAGCCACAGCTGCCCTGGGGCACACTGACAGAAGCGAGCCATCGGCCCCTCCGACCACCACCAACCACTCACACACACCAGACTTCTAATGTGGGTGTCTTGCCTAAAGACACAACAGCAGTTGGGCACTTTACAGCCGCCTCACTGTGGCACATGGTGTTCCCAGAGTTTAAGTGTCTTGCCCAAGGACACAACAGCAGACATCAGTGGGAGTCTTGTGGTGGGCTCGAACCAACTGAGACACTGTCGCCACATAGAAAATAAAAGGTCAGTGACAAAGATGAACTTTGAAAAATTTCATTTCAAATTATTTCATTTGAAAAATTATCAATACAAATGTAAATGACCCTGAAAAAAGCATAACGGACGTGATGGTTTCCCTCAATGTTATTCTTAAAATTAACATTGTGGTCTGGTTTCACATTTAATTGGTTTACTATTTAGTAGCAGTAATCAATATGGTTTTACTAAAAAGAATCTCTGAATCAAAAGTGTATCTGAAAAGGGTTGGGGTCCAAGACAAAGTTAAAGCAAACTGGACTGGTGTATTAAACTGTTTTCTGCTACTTATGGACTGAAGAGGTATTTGAATAATCATAGTGATCCAGCCTCTTTTGTCAGTGAATCCAGTTCCTTTGAGCAAAACACTTCTGATGTTTACTTTAACGGTTAAGTAGAGTTGTGCTATAAGCCCAGTGAGAGTCCAAGCAAAAGAATATAACAGATTTATAAGGCAAAATAAAACTCATAACTCACTGGCTCTAAAAGAGCCAATAGTCTGATATATTGTAAGTTTCCCTCCGGCATTCAAACTTTCTATTGTAGAAATTATTTAGAATCTATTTCTAATCTATTGTAGCGTTTGTCATTCATGTATTTAAACATCATTAAACAGTGAAAGTTCAGAGCTGCACTATCACCAGTGCCACAGACACTGAGGCAGAGATAAGTCCACTGCCATAAGTCCACTCCCATCCCATAAGTCCACTGCCATAAGTCCACTGCCATAAGTCCACTGCCATAAGTCCACTGCCATAAGTCCACTGCCATCCCATAAGTCCACTGCCATAAGTCCACTGCCATAAGTCCACTGCCATCCCATAAGTCCACTGCCATAAGTCCACTGCCATAAGTCCACTGCCATAAGTCCACTGCCATCCCATAAGTCCACTGCCATAAGTCCACTGCCATAAGTCCACTGCCATAAGTCCACTGCCATCCCATAAGTCCACTGCCATAAGTCCACTGCCATAAGTCCACTGCCATAAGTCCACTGCCATCCCATAAGTCCACTGCCATAAGTCCACTGCCATAAGTCCACTGCCATAAGTCCACTGCCATAAGTCCACTGCCATCCCATAAGTCCACTGCCATAAGTCCACTGCCATAAGTCCACTCCCATCCCATAAGTCCACTGCCATAAGTCCACTGCCATAAGTCCACTGCCATCCCATAAGTCCACTGCCATAAGTCCACTGCCATAAGTCCACTGCCATAAGTCCACTGCCATAAGTCCACTCCCATCCCATAAGTCCACTGCCATAAGTCCACTGCCATAAGTCCACTGCCATCCCATAAGTCCACTGCCATAAGTCCACTGCCATAAGTCCACTGCCATAAGTCCACTGCCATAAGTCCACTCCCATAAGTCCACTCCCATAAGTCCACTCCCATAAGTCCACTCCCATAAGTCCACTCCCATAAGTCCACTCCCATAAGTCCACTGCCATAAGTCCACTGCCATAAGTCCACTGCCATCCCATAAGTCCACTGCCATAAGTCCACTGCCATAAGTCCACTGCCATAAGTCCACTGCCATAAGTCCACTCCCATAAGTCCACTCCCATAAGTCCACTCCCATAAGTCCACTCCCATAAGTCCACTCCCATAAGTCCACTCCCATAAGTCCACTCCCATAAGTCCACTCCCATAAGTCCACTGCCATCCCATAAGTCCACTGCCATAAGTCCACTGCCATAAGTCCACTGCCATAAGTCCACTGCCATAAGTCCACTGCCATAAGTCCACTGCCATAAGTCCACTGCCGTAAGTCCACTGCCATAAGTCCACTGCCATAAGTCCACTGCCATAAGTCCACTGCCATAAGTCCACTGCCGTAAGTCCACTGCCATAAGTCCACTGCCATAAGTCCACTGCCGTAAGTCCACTGCCATAAGTCCACTGCCATAAGTCCACTGCCATAAGTCCACTCCCATAAGTCCACTCCCATAAGTCCACTCCCATAAGTCCACTCCCATAAGTCCACTCCCATAAGTCCACTCCCATAAGTCCACTCCCATAAGTCCACTCCCATAAGTCCACTCCCATCCCATAAGTCCACTGCCATAAGTCCACTGCCATAAGTCCACTGCCATAAGTCCACTGCCATAAGTCCACTCCCATAAGTCCACTCCCATAAGTCCACTCCCATAAGTCCACTGCCATAAGTCCACTGCCATAAGTCCACTCCCATAAGTCCACTCCCATAAGTCCACTCCCATAAGTCCACTCCCATAAGTCCACTCCCATCCCATAAGTCCACTGCCATAAGTCCACTGCCATAAGTCCACTGCCATAAGTCCACTCCCATAAGTCCACTCCCATAAGTCCACTCCCATAAGTCCACTGCCATAAGTCCACTGCCATAAGTCCACTGCCATAAGTCCACTGCAGCAGAAAAGTGTTCATTCTAGAGTGTTCAATGGAAACAAGTGCTATTGACATACAGATGTGCTTAAACTAAAACTGCCTTTAGACAAGGCTTTATTTGGAAAGAACTTGAAGAATCAGCAGCTCATAACTTTTCAATTCAATTGAATTTTTTTGAGTCCTAAATCACGACAGCAGTCGAGTCACCAACAAAATTGTGTGAGGAGTATGTACCCTACTGTATACAGATGGATGTTAACCCGCAATCTCAATGAGGCCGGAAGTTTGACTCCAACTCTGGGCTCCTATCGACTTACATTGGCAAGTGTGGCCTAGGGTTAGCTGTGATCCTGGTGTTTATATTGCAACATTGTCTTTGAAAATCCACATAAGAGCTTTATTTGGCTTTAACAGATGACCAATCAGGAGCTTTCTGTTGTCCAATTCAGCTTCGACAGAGAGTCCTGCGAGTGGAGAAGGCTTCTGATTGGCTCTCGGTAACTCGCCTGTTGCTACCCACACATTTTCATATATTTGACACCAAAGTCAAACCGCCGCCCGCGTGGTCCCCGCACCGCCGCCCGCGTGGTCCCCGCACCGCCGCCCGCGTGGTCCCCGCACCGCCGCCCGCGTGGACCCCGCGTGGTCCCCGCACCGCCGCCCGCGTGGACCCCGCACCGCCGCCCGGGTGGTCCCGCCCGCACCGCCGCCCGCGTGGACCCGCGTGGTCCCCGCACCGCCGCCCGCGTGGACCCGCACCGCCGCCCGCGTGCACCGCCGCCCGCGTGGACCCGCGTGGTCCCCGCACCGCCGCCCGCGTGGTCCCCGCACCGCCGCCCGCGTGGTCCCCGCACCGCCGCCCGCGTGGACCCGCGTGGTCCCCGCACCGCCGCCCGCGTGGTCCCCGCACCGCCGCCCGCGTGGTCCCCGCACCGCCGCCCGCGTGGTCCCCGCACCGCCGCCCGCGTGGACCCCGCACCGCCGCCCGCGTGGTCCCCGCACCGCCGCCCGCGTGGACCCGCACCGCCGCCCGCGTGGACCCACGTGGTCCCCGCACCGCCGCCCGCGTGGACCCGCGTGGTCCCCGCACCGCCGCCCGCGTGGTCCCCGCACCGCCCGCGTGGACCCACACCACACGGGGGTTTGTGCGCACAAGTTACGTTCTCTCGTCAAAATTGCGTAAAAAAGCAACTCATGCAGCTATCAGTGACGGAGATTCTACAGCGGCAACAACCACACAGTAATGACTTAAGAAACAACACGAAATATGCACGAAAGTTATGGATTTTTTCCCGGTGCCACCAGCGCAGTCTATCGTGGAAAGCGCTGGGTTCAAACGGCTCATGTTCACTGCTTCAATATGCCATCGAGGAAATATCTTACTGATGTCTGCTTGCCGCAGATTTACCAAACTGTATATTCTCACACACTCCAAGCCCAGCCAGAGCATGGATCTATTATAATAACGAGCCAGAGTCACACAGCGCAGACACAGAACACACTCAGCAGCGAGACGCTGAGCTCCGAGCCACAGGCAAAAACATCCCGTGTCGCTACTTTGCATGTTCACAAAAATGTTGGAGGAAGATGTGTAGTGTAGTAGAGACAGTCCTACAGTGTCGCTTACCCAGAGAAACTAGTTACGCCTCGGAGCAGACAGCCGCTTGTTTATTGGAAGGAAAATAAAAGCCGCTTCCCTGCTCTGGCCAAAGCAGCGTCTTTCCTCAGCGCTCCTTGCACAAGTGTAGACAGTGAGCAGGACTATTCAGGATGATAAACATAATAAACTAACCTCTGCAAATGCTGAGATACTAATATTCCTGAAGAAAAAAACATTGCCTTAACAATCTCTTTTTAATCCGTTTAGAAATGCAGCATGTACAGTATTGCTCCAATTCATAGCATTACTTTCTTTAATGTATCTCAATGCTCTGTAACGTATACTTGTGGTCCCCAACCTTTTTGTCTTGAGTACCCTAGGGCAGGGGTTCCCAAAGTTTTTAGCCCGCGACCCCCATCATAAATGCCCTGCTAACCCGCGATTTTCTGTTGTGGATATTAACCACGTTTCATTTTAAAGCAGGTATTATTTATTTGTAGCCTCCAAACACCTTTAGTTTTAGCAAACAACAGCAGGACACGCTTTGTCGCTGCGCATGATGTGAGCTGTGTTACGTGATGATTTTGATTGACGCTGCAATGACTGGGACAAAATTACTAACGTTATTAAAATATATTATAGTCTCCAAACACAATTTAACAAGTAATCAAATCAAATGCTAAATAAATATTTAAGGGCTTTATATTTGCTCAAAAAAAAAATCTTTTTTTTTTGTTTGTGTAGAAATCATCTTGCGACCCCCCCAGGGGTTCCCGCGACCCCCCCGGGGGGTCGGGACCCCCACTTTGGGAACCACTGCCCTAGGGCATTTTATTTATACTACCTAGTACCTTGATGGTTTTGAAAGATTAGGACTAGTTATTCACTATATAACTATTCATTTATCACTAAAAATATAAATATTTGATCGGAAATGATCGGTTTTGGCAGGTAAAATTTTAATGATCGGTCAAAAAATTCCTGATCGGTGCACCTCTAGTTATATATATATATTATATTAGGGCCGGGACTTAAACGTGTTAATTACGATTAATTAACCCCACAAAAATTAGTGCATTAAAAACATTAACGCATTTTAATCGCATGTGTTTTTTTCCACCGCGGAACGTTCCTCACTGGAGGATATGTTTCAGACGGACCGATTATAATGGCGCACCAACTGAGCTTCGTGACTTTTCTTGTTCAAAAGTACATTATAACAAGCATAGACCATCGTACAATTTTATTAAACGGCTCCTAACATTATTCAGCGAGTACAACGGGCTTTCAGCAGGCGCCTGTCAATACTTGTGTCTGTGCCATGGGTCTATTATGGTCTGTGCAGACAGGTTAGCCCGTGGCTAGCCCCGCTAGCCACGGGCTAGCCCGAAGTAACCATTCACATGAAACGGACATTTTAGGACACATTTGAAGAGGATCTGATTATGGATATAGATTGGGTATATAAATGGTTATGGATATAGATTGGGTATATAAATGGTTATGGATATAGATTGGGTATATAAATGGTTATGGATATAGATTGGGTATATAAATGGTTATGGATATAGATTGGGTATATAAATGGTTATGGATATAGATTGGGTATATAAATGGTTATGGATATAGATTGGGTATATAAATGGTTATGGATATAGGTTGGGTATATAAATGGTTATAGATATAGGTTGGGTATATAAATGGTTATGGATATAGATTGGGTATATAAATGGTTATGGATATAGATTGGGTATATAAATGGTTATGGATATAGATTGGGTATATAAATGGTTATGGATATAGATTGGGTATATAAATGGTTATGGATATAGGTTGGGTATATAAATGGTTATAGATATAGGTTGGGTATATAAATGGTTATGGATATAGATTGGGTATATAAATGGTTATGGATATAGATTGGGTATATAAATGGTTATGGATATAGATTGGGTATATAAATGGGTACCTCAGCGCTGATGGTCAGAATTCTTTGTTCAGTTTTCATGTAGTTCCAGAGAGTTTCTGAGCTAGCCTAGCTGTTATCCGCCTAGCGTTAGCACCATAGATCCATGGCCACGTCACAGCGAAACCTTTGGGAGCTATTTATTTTATATGCAGTCATTAAATACATTTTGAATATTAAGGGCTGTCTAATATTCGTTCGAATATATATATATATATTTTTTTAATATTCGAATTATATTTGAATATTGGATTTCGAAGTCATAGCCCTAGTGCTCACTGTTAGTGCAGTGGATTTGGTTATAAAAAGCGTATGTTGTGGACAGAGTGTGTGGAGGCGATAACAGATGAGTTATTTGATGGAAAGAAGTCCGTCTGCTCCCCTTATCATCCTCAATGAACATGTGTTTAAGTTTATGTATTCAGTCATTATTCACTGATAAACTAAAAATCCATGTGGAAAAAAAAAACTTACTGTTCTCAGGACATTTATATGCGATTAAAATGCGATTAATTAATCACAAAGCCTCTAATTAATTAGATTAATTTTCTTAATCGAGTCCCAGCCCTAATTTTTTTATTATATATATATATATATATATATATATATATATTATTATATATATATATATATATATATATATATATATATATATATATATATATATATATATATATTATATATATATATATATATATATATATATATATATATATATATATATATATTTTAGGGCCGGGACTTTAACGCGTTAATTACGATTAAATTGAAATTTCCCCACTGTGGGATGAATAAAGGCATTCTAATCTTATTAATTAACGCCACAAAATTAGCGCTAAAAAAAATTGACGCATTTTAATCGCATGTGTATTTGCGACATGTGTATACAAATGTGTATACATGTGTTTAAGTTTATGTATTCAGTCATTATTCAATGGTAAACTAATGAACATGTGAAAAAAAACTTCACTGTTCTCACGACAAATATTTATATGCAATTAAAATGTGATTAATCGAGATTAATTACAAAGCCTCTAATAATTAGATTAATTTGTTTAATCGAGTCCCAGCCCTAATATATATATAATGTGAATCAAAGCTTTTTTGAAAATAGTTTTTCATATTCAGTGCTAGATGTGTGGATCTGAGAATGAGTTTGATGTTTGAACTCAGAAACTAACTGTAGGCTTTACTATTGCTTTGTCAAATCCATATAAACACTTTTAGAAAGCACATGGCAAGTTGAATTCTCGAAATAATCGGTTATCTGCGGTTAATCATTAAATCCCACGTTATCAAATGACAGCTGCTGCTCTGATGACAGTTCTCTAAAGTCGAACTAATGTGAAAGTAAATGTCTTAAATGAGGCACGAACATCATATTAGTGACTTAGCATCACACACTTTGTGAATATTGAGGTCTAACATTTAAAACAATCCAATGACAACATATGCAAACACATTCCTGAGGCATAAATAATGGCTTACACAGTTTTAAAACCCCGCTGACTGGTATTGTTGAGTATAGCGAAGTCAAATAGATCTCATTAACAAGAGCCTAGCCACTGGGGACGTCCAAAATCTGTAAAGTAAGCGAATTTCCCGAAACAGCAGTCCCTTGCTAGCCCGTTAGCATGCTAACTAGCTACAGTCGTCCATGCTAACTCTGGAAGAACACGTGGAGAAAACACGTGATAACCATAACAAACTTATAGCTAGATTTATTCCAAATGACAGAGCCCAGAATGCGTTTAATGACGTTGGAAGGTGACGGGTTCGCCACAAGAGCACAGTCTGCACTTTATACCGTAATCATTGAACGGAGGGCTAAGAGGAGCTAAGGCCTGGCTGTGCTAGGCCATGCTAGGCCATGCTAACCCCGGGTGCTATTGTTAGCCAACCTAAGCTACGTGCTGCTTTTCTGCTGCTAATGCAAGTCACCGGGGCGGACATGTCTGCAGTGAGGGTTATCTAATGTTGAAACTGCCTCAGAACCAGGAGGTAAACAAGGATCTTAAACATTTGTCATGCCCTGGAGCCTGTAGGCTTTGACTCATGAGACAGGATCAGTCTATTTTACACTTCCTCACATAACGATGATTTATCCCACGGGAGGAATACACACAATTGTCAAATTTAAGCTTGTAAATAGGAGGAAAACTACACATTCCAAGTAAATACCCAGTGGTGAATGAGGCTACTGTACGTGACGTCACTACTCTAGACTTAACTCAGCACAACTGGGTTAGAGAATTAAATGGGAGTTTTTCTGAGCAGAAATGTCCCTTAAAGACGTTTAATCTGATCTATATTTACACAATTACAGCCACAGTACGATTGCAGTTACAGTAATACTATACCACAGCCTGCCAAGTTTGATTTACAGTGGCTCTTGCTTATGTCAACACCAGGATAGTTACCAGCAAAACAACTAAATCAATTGTCTGAGTCCCTAAACAGCACATAAGGAGGTTAAACCACGAGTGTAGCGTTGACACGTTTGCATTTAAAGACATTTAAAAGTGACTTGACACTAAACACCCAAAATTGACTAGTGGGAGCTCTAAGAATAGCGTCAGAGTGGAAGGGGGTCGCTTGGCCAAATATATCCACTTATATGTATTTTTGCAAGATTTTCAGCCTTTACTACCGTGACTCCTGGTCCCTTACCACTGTGGCATGGATATTATGTTGGTCCTTACCACTGTGGCATGGATATTATGTTGGTCCTTACCACTGTGGCATGGATATTATGTTGGTCCTTTACCACTGTGGCATGGATATTATGTTGGTCCTTTACCACTGTGGCATGGATATTATGTTGGTCCCTTACCACTGTGGCATGGATATTATGTTGGTCCTTTACCACTGTGGCATGGATATTATGTTGGTCCTTTACCACTGTGGCATGGATATTATGTTGGTCCTTTACCACTGTGGCATGGATATTATGTTGGTCCTTACCACTGTGGCATGGATATTATGTTGGTCCTTACCACTGTGGCATGGATATTATGTTGGTCCTTACCACTGTGGCATGGATATTATGTTGGTCCTTTACCACTGTGGCATGGATATTATGTTGGTCCCTTACCACTGTGGCATGGATATTATGTTGGTCCCTTACCACTGTGGCATGGATATTATGTTGGTCCTTTACCACTGTGGCATGGATATTATGTTGGTCCTTTACCACTGTGGCATGGATATTATGTTGGTCCTTTACCACTGTGGCATGGATATTATGTTGGTCCTTACCACTGTGGCATGGATATTATGTTGGTCCTTTACCACTGTGGCATGGATATTATGTTGGTCCTTTACCACTGTGGCATGGATATTATGTTGGTCCTTTACCACTGTGGCATGGATATTATGTTGGTCCTTTACCACTGTGGCATGGATATTATGTTGGTCCTTTACCACTGTGGCATGGATATTATGTTGGTCCTTTACCACTGTGGCATGGATATTATGTTGGTCCTTTACCACTGTGGCATGGATATTATGTTGGTCCTTTACCACTGTGGCATGGATATTATGTTGGTCCCTTACCACTGTGGCATGTATATTATGTTGGTCCCTTACCACTGTGGCATGGATATTATGTTGGTCCTTTACCACTGTGGCATGGATATTATGTTGGTCCTTACCACTGTGGCATGGATATTATGTTGGTCCTTTACCACTGTGGCATGGATATTATGTTGGTCCCTTACCACTGTGGCATGGATATTATGTTGGTCCCTTACCACTGTGGCATGGATATTATGTTGGTCCTTTACCACTGTGGCATGGATATTATGTTGGTCCTTTACCACTGTGGCATGGATATTATGTTGGTCCTTTACCACTGTGGCATGGATATTATGTTGGTCCTTTACCACTGTGGCATGGATATTATGTTGGTCCTTTACCACTGTGGCATGGATATTATGTTGGTCCTTTACCACTGTGGCATGGATATTATGTTGGTCCCTTACCACTGTGGCATGGATATTATGTTGGTCCTTTACCACTGTGGCATGGATATTATGTTGGTCCTTTACCACTGTGGCATGGATATTATGTTGGTCCTTTACCACTGTGGCATGGATATTATGTTGGTCCCTTACCACTGTGGCATGGATATTATGTTGGTCCTTTACCACTGTGGCATGGATATTATGTTGGTCCTTTACCACTGTGGCATGGATATTATGTTGGTCCTTTACCACTGTGGCATGGATATTATGTTGCAAAGCTTTGATTGTCAAGTATGTAAGTCCTTCCCCAATGCACACGTTTTCATAGTAAGACATGACGCTATCACGCCCAGAATGCATCGGCTGCAGGCGTGATCAAAGGGAGCGACGTACTAATAATACTAATAATTAATGATGATGATGATGATGATGATAGGTACTGACCCGGTGCTGCAGGACCGTTCACGCTGACCACTGTGACCGGGTTCATTTTCTTGGTCCAGGGGTTCACCTTGGGTGGAGGGGCTGCAGTAAACTCCTTTCTGCCCTTTGCACTGTCGTCGCTCGGCTTGTTGTTGTCACAGTCGCCTTTGGGAGAGGCAGGTTGCGGGTTTGAGTCCGGGCGGGTCCCTCCCTTCGTATCCGTAGGTCCCTCCAGCTCCCCCCGGGCCATAGCGCTGCAGTCTTCGGGTTTGGAGAGCGGAGTGCCCGGTAGGAGAGTCTCCACCTGAGTGGCCATTTCCCACCGTCTCCTCCCGGTAGGATTACAGCGCTGGCGGTCCGCGGTGTGTCGGGGGTAAACGTGGAGGTTTGTCGCGGTGTTGAAACCTATGCGCGTGGGTCCCGAGCGCACGCGGCCTCACGCAGCCTCACGCAGCCTCACGCGGCCTCACGCAGCCTCACGCACCGAGGAAGTGGAGAAAAACGTGTTCGTGGGCCTCCGGATTACAGCCTTATCTCCAGCACTAGCAGCAACATGGATGATCCTCACCACGCGATACTGCTGTGGACGCGCACGCACACGTCAGGGGGAGGGGCACGCACACACGGGAGCGCGCCTTGGGGGTCAGGCCGTGTCAGGCGCGTTCACGGTCGTGGGACTTTACGAGGTTCATGTTTTCACCAACATCAAGACTATGACGACGCAGTATATAGACCATATGTAAACTAGAGACCAGGACACAGAGGGAGGAGACCAGGAGGAGACCCAGGACACAGAGGGAGGAGACCAGGAGGAGACCCAGGACACAGAGGGAGGAGACCAGGAGGAGACCCAGGACACAGAGGGAGGAGACCAGGAAGAGACCCAGGACACAGAGGGAGGAGACCAGGAGGAGACCCAGGACACAGAGGGAGGAGACCAGGAGGAGACCCAGGACACAGAGGGAGGAGACCAGGAGGAGACCCAGGACACAAAGGGAGGAGACCAGGAGGAGACCCAGGACACAGAGGGAGGAGACCAGGAGGAGACCCAGGACACAGAGGGAGGAGACCAGGAGGCGACCCAGGACACAGAGGGAGGAGACCAGGAGGAGACCCAGGACACAGAGGGAGGAGACCAGGAGGAGACCCAGGACACAGAGGGAGGAGACCCAGGACACAGAGGGAGGAGACCCAGGACACAGACCCAGGAGACAGAGGGAGGAGACCAGGAGGAGACCCAGGACACAGAGGGAGGAGACCAGGAGGAGACCCAGGACACAGAGGGAGGAGACCAGGAGGAGACCCAGGACACAGAGGGAGGAGACCAGGAGGAGACCCAGGACACAGAGGGAGGAGACCAGGAGGAGACCCAGGACACAGAGGGTCTCTCAGCTGGCCTGGGCACAGAGGGACTAGGATTCCCCCAGATGAGCTGCAGGAAATGAGTGGAGAGAGAGGTCTGTGTCTCTGCTGTGCCTGTGACATTAATTAATGTTTATGTTTTATTGGTTGTGTAAACGACTTTTTAGTATTATACTAGTGCACATGTGTGTTTCCTTGTGACCTATGTTTCACAGGTTTTTGGTCCTCTATAAATAAATGGGGACCTCACTTTTTGGGAGTCTCCAACTACAATTTGCCTCTTTCTGTGTCGCTCATCCCTCTCCCGTTGGTACGCTACATTGGTGGCAGCGCTGCCGCCGTCGCCACCTGAGTTGATGTACGGTGGTGGCAGCGGTGACGAACATTTGTGCCTTGCTTTTTGTACTTTTTGGTGGGTGAGTCTGACCTGACGGTGCCGTCGCCAGTATGGTCTTGCCATATTTTTGTGTTGATGTGGGACTGGAGTGATGGTGTGGCCTGTGCTGTTCTGAGGCCCTTCTCGGCTGGGGTGACTGTCAAGGACTGGTGTGACGGAGTGCTGCCGCCCGGGGAGACGTTCCAGTACCGGACTGAGCACGTGGCTGCTGATGTCCAGGATCAGACCATGACATGTGCGCATTGGTGCCCGAATCCAGCGCCGTCCCTTGGGAGCCACAGGAGTGTGGTTATGCCTGTTGGGGTGCCGGCTGACGTGTGTGTTCAAGAGTCCGTAATTCTGATGTTCCCAGCGCGTCCTACGGTCCCGTGTTCTGGACGTTCTGTTGATTTCCTGTGCTCCGGTCAGGGGAATTCGTGTTCCGGTTCTGCGCCAGTCGTCTACCTGCTGCGGGGAGTCCAGGCAGCTGCAGGATCGCCAGTTTTTGGTTCTTGGAGGACGCTGGGACTTTGATGCTGTTTTGTAATTTTTTTTTTTATCTCACACCCACTGTAGCCAGATCAAGAGTCCTATCTAACATTCATAACTACTCCCCATACGTACCTCCAAAGCCACCTAGGGCGCCCAACTCAAATTCTCCCACAAAATCCACCCGTCCCTCAAATTCTGACTCAAATTCACCCGCAATATCCACCGGTCCCTCCCCTAACCCCAAAACCATTGTTCTTATAATCTTGATCTTATGTTCATGGCTGAAACTTGGCTTGACCAAAATTCAGAAAATGCAGTTTTAATAGAAGCATCACCACCAAATTTCAAATTTGAATCTAAAATACGGGAAAACAAAAAAGGAGGAGGCTTAGCTGCCATTTTCAGAGACCACTTTGTCTCCCATAGAATGTCTCTTGGGAAGTTTCCGTCTTTTGAATATGTGTCTTTTAAAATACAACAAAAACAATCTCCTCCAATACTCTTCGTTGTCCTATACAAGCCACCGCAGTCCTGTCACAGTTTTATTGATAATTTTACCGAGTTGCTTTCAGTTGTATGCACAGATTTTGATAGTTTGATTATTACAGGTGATTTTAATATTCATGTGGATAATGTTGATGACAGAAATGCAAATGAGCTGAGTTCTGTACTTGAATCCTTTGATCTCACTCAGCATGTGAGTGGCCCCACCCACAGCAGAGGGCACACTCTAGATCTGTTAGTTACAAAGGGGGTGAATATTTCTAATGTAAACGTGGTCGATGTTGCTCTTTCGGATCATTTCTGTGTATTTTTTGACATGTGTTTCACTAACAAACCACCAGTGGACTCTGCAACTGTACGAAGAAGACACATAAATGAAAATACGAGTGAACTATTTATGGGAATGATAAACTTTGAGAATGCATCGTATTCTACTGTAGATGAACTGTTTAACTCTGTCACCTCTAGTGTTTTGAATGTTCTGGATACCGTTGCCCCTGTGAAGGTTAAAATAGTGAAAAATAAGCAGAAGGCGCCGTGGGCTAAAGCAGACTCGGTCAGGGCACAAAAGAGAAAGTGCCGGAGGGCCGAGCGGAAGTGGCGCAAGTCCAACCTCCAGGTTGATTACGAGATCTTCAAAGATAAGTTGTGCGAGTTTAACCGGGTGCTACGTAGTACGAGAGAAAGGTATTTTTCTGAAATGATTGAAGGCTGCAGCAACAATCTGCGTGTTCTGTTCTCAACAGTTAATAGATTAACAAACCCCCCTGTTCAAATGCCATTAGAGCTAACTTCCAAACGTAAATGCAGAGTTTGCACACTTTTTCAATGACAAGGTTCAAGGCATCAAAAACGCCATTGTCTCCAATCCACAGATAACCATCCAACAGCCAGAAAGGCTCTCTGAGCTAACTTACTTTGCACCTGTAAATCAGTAGCGGCGCCAGGTTTGCAATTTTGGGTAGGCCTGCAGATTAGTAAGTAGGCCAAATTCGCTTGCAAACTACAAGGGGTAGCTGGAATTGGGGTTTCAAAGAATATGGTTCAAACGCACACACGCACGCACACGCACTCACACGCACTCACGCGCGCACATACACACAAGCTCATTTATGAAACTTGCGTAGAAAAAGTACATTTTGGGTGTATATTCCATTTACGCAAAATCCAACGTCGGATTTATGAACGTGTGAGATCAGCCCAGTTCTGAGCGTACGCAGCTGCGGGTGTTGATAAATCGGCTGAATATGAACGTATTTAGTCACACCTAGAATTATGCAGCAATCGTGTGTTTCACGCCCCGTCTTCGTGACAGGTCAGCAGGAAGCCGGCCTAAAAGACTGTTTGGAAGCCTCAAATGGCACGTTTGTTTGTTCATGTTTATGTAATAATAAATATGCGCTATATATTCAGCTGCGTTTTGAACAAATTTGCCAAAATGTTTTGATACATTAGAAAAATCCTTCTTGAATTGTAGAAGTGAATAAAGATTGATTGAATGAATGAATAATTCATATTTATTATGCAGCGGTGGCTCTGAATGAAGCGTCTGCAGCGTCTTGGACGCAGCCTGGCTCGGGGTAGAAGTGCGCATTGAGGCGCTGTACACTTCAGAGAGCGTTTGTCCAGATTTCACAAAGAAACTCTGAAGCCAAAACTTCTGCACATGTGGCGCGACCTCTCACGGCACTCGCTGCGCACTCTGGACAGGGCAGTGAGACATTTGTGAGTGAGCAATACCGGTGCTTTAATGGGGTGTGTGTCTGTGTGAGGGTTACACAAATCTAATGAAATAACACATTGCTTTAGATGTGAATGAGGAATACAAATAGCCGTGCGTAATTACGCAGCGCAGAGCCTGCCACAGCAATAGCTGGGTCACACATCCCCGTTGCGTAAAGTGTATTTAAATAGAGCCTTTGACTGTCCAGGATCACAAAGCGCTTCACATTTTAAAAACATACAGATCAAAATAATACACACACAAGTCAGATTTAATAGAGGGTCCTCATCATGAGCTGTGATTTATTCGAAGTTTGCGTGTTTCCATTAGACTTTTTCTGATGCGCAAATTCAAATTTTGAAACATGATCCTCAATGAAAACACAGCATATAATTTTGCCAGAGGGAATATGTTTATTATTGTCCATATCTTGAATTTCATGCGTGTTTTGGCGTGTTGTGCCGAAGGTTGAGTTCAGCGTATAGATTTATACCACATCCAGACCTGGCGTATATTTTTTGCGTATTGTACGCTCACGTCCAGATAGATAAATGCGGAAAAGTGTAATATTTTGCGTACGCCTCATTTACACCCTGATTTGGCCGTACGCAGGTTTCATACATGAGGCCCACAGTGAGGCCCACAGTGAGGCCCACAGTGAGGCCCACAGTGAGGCCTACAGTGAGGCCTACAGTGAGGCCCACAGTGAGGCCCACAGTGAGGCCTACAGTGAGGCCCACAGTGAGGCCCACAGTGAGGCCTACAGTGAGGCCCACAGTGAGGCCCACAGTGAGGCCCACAGTGAGGCCCACAGTGGGGCCCACAGTGAGGCCTACAGTGAGGCCCACAGTGAGGCCCACAGTGAGGCCCACAGTGAGGCTCACAGTGAGGCCCACAGTGAGGCCCACAGTGAGGCCCACAGTGAGGCTCACAGTGAGGCCCACAGTGAGGCCCACAGTGAGGCCCACAGTGAGGCTCACAGTGAGGCCCACAGTGGGGCCCACAGTGAGGCCCACAGTGAGGCCCACAGTGAGGCCCACAGTGAGGCTCACAGTGAGGCCCACAGTGAGGCCCACAGTGAGGCCCACAGTGAGGCTCACAGTGAGGCCCACAGTGAGGCCCACAGTGAGGCCCACAGTGAGGCTCACAGTGAGGCCCACAGTGGGGCCCACAGTGAGGCCTACAGTGAGGCCCACAGTGTGTCTCACACAGGCCTAGAGTTTACCTCATCAGTGCGAGGCCAGCCTGGCCTGACCCTCCTCCTCTGGGACCTACGGGCCTCTGGCTCCTCTACCTCACAAAGTTCACGCTGAACTTTCTTAAAATTAAAATGAAAAAGGCTGCTCTGTTGTGAATGCTTTGAGAGCGTTGTCAATCTTTAAGACGAGGAATAGCTGTTGTTCTCGCTTCACGCTGTGATATGATATTGAACAAAATTGTTCAGCCAATAAACAGGACTATATTTGAAGCAACGTAGGAACGTGATGACGCTCAGGGGGTTATATTTTCTTAAAACATTAGAACGCAACATTTAGGCATTAGCAATAATTTGTGTTTAAAAATAACAATATTTAAATTATGACTTTTAATAAAAAAGGCTAATGACTTGAGAGGCGAAGAACAAATTTGAGTAGGCCAAGAAAAAAACTAGTAGGCACCGGCCTACCCAGGCCTACCCCTGGCGCCGCGGCTGCTGTAAATGATCAAACTGTTCAAGAGATAATCTCCAGTTTGAGCTCCTCCACATGCAGCCTGGATGTACTACCCACTAGATTTCTAAAGTCTGTTCTGAGCAGTCTGTTACCTTCACTCACACAGATAGTAAACATGTCCCTTGATTCTGGAATATTCCCAAAGGCCCTGAAAACTGCAGTCATCAGGCCCCTGCTAAAAAAGAGCAGTCTGGATGCTACGGTACTTAACAACTATCGTCCCATCTCAAATCTGCCATTTATGGGGAAAGTCCTTGAAAAAGTTGTCTACCTACAGCTTACTAGATTTCTTATAATCAACAACTCATTTGATATGTTTCAGTCCGGCTTTAGACCCCACCACAGCACTGAGACTGCTCTCGTTAAGGTTACAAACGATATCCGGCTGAACACTGACGCAGGCAAAGTCTCAATCTTAATCTGTTAGATCTAAGTGCTGCCTTTGATACTGTCGACCATGAGATCCTCTTACAGAGACTAGAGGACTGGGTTGGCGTCGCTGGCACCGCCCTAAGTTGGTTTAGGTCTTACCTTGAAGACAGGAAGTACTTTGTGGAGATTGGAAACTGTGTCTCAGATCATATGGCCCTGACCTGTGGAGTCCCACAGGGGTCGATCCTGGGACCTCTTCTGTTCAATCTCTACATGCTGCCGTTAGGTCAGTTAATACGCAGAAACAAAGTTTCCTATCATAACTATGCAGACGACACTCAGATCTATGTCTCACTGACTGCAGGAGAACATGGACCAGTGGACTCACTCCTTCACTGTATCCAACAGATCAGTGAGTGGATGCAAAACAACTTCCTTCAGCTAAACGCAGACAAAACTGAAATGATTGTCTTTGGTCCCCAGAAACAAAGAGAGAGCGTCATCTGTCACCTACAGTCTCTCTCCCTAAAACCTTCTAACAAGGTCAGAAATCTAGGGGTAATACTGGACTCAGACTAAAATTTTAATAGCCACATCAAATCAGTAACATCAGCAGCTTTTTACCATCTAAAAAACATTGCCAGGATCAAAAACATAGTGTCTAAAGCAGACCTGGAGATTCTTATCCATGCATTTGTCTCCAGTAGGTTAGACTACTGCAATGGCCTGCTCACAGGTCTGTCCAAACAGGCTGTAAAACAGCTGCAGTACATTCAAAATGCAGCAGCTCCAGTCCTGACTAGAACCAGGAAGTACGACCATATTAGTCCTGACTAGAACCAGGAAGTACGACCACATTAGTCCTGACTAGAACCAGGAAGTACGACCACATTAGTCCTGACTAGAACCAGGAAGTACGACCACATTAGTCCTGACTAGAACCAGGAAGTACGACCACATTAGTCCTGACTAGAACCAGGAAGTACGACCACATTAGTCCTGACTAGAACCAGGAAGTACGACCACATTAGTCCTGACTAGAACCAGGAAGTACGACCACATTAGTCCTGACTAGAACCAGGAAGTACGACCACATTAGTCCTGACTAGAACCAGGAAGTACGACCACATTAGTCCTGACTAGAACCAGGAAGTACGACCACATTAGTCCTGACTAGAACCAGGAAGTACGACCACATTAGTCCTGACTAGAACCAGGAAGTACGACCACATTAGTCCTGACTAGAACCAGGAAGTACGACCACATTAGTCCTGACTAGAACCAGGAAGTACGACCACATTAGTCCTGACTAGAACCAGGAAGTACGACCACATTAGTCCTGACTAGAACCAGGAAGTACGACCACATTAGTCCTGACTAGAACCAGGAAGTACGACCACATTAGTCCTGACTAGAACCAGGAAGTACGACCATATTAGTCCTGACTAGAACCAGGAAGTACGACCGCATTAGTCCTGACTAGAACCAGGAAGTACGACCACATTAGTCCTGACTAGAACCAGGAAGTACGACCACATTAGTCCTGACTAGAACCAGGAAGTACGACCACATTAGTCCAGACTAGAACCAGGAAGTACGACCACATTAGTCCTGACTAGAACCAGGAAGTACGACCACATTAGTCCTGACTAGAACCAGGAAGTACGACCGCAGTAGTCCTGACTAGAACCAGGAAGTACGACCATATTAGTCCTGACTAGAACCAGGAAGTAAGACCACATTAGTCCAGACTAGAACCAGGAAGTACGACCACATTAGTCCTGACTAGAACCAGGAAGTACGACCGCAGTAGTCCTGACTAGAACCAGGAAGTACGACCACATTAGTCCTGACTAGAACCAGGAAGTACGACCACATTAGTCCTGTCTAGAACCAGGAAGTACGACCACATTAGTCCTGACTAGAACCAGGAAGTACGACCACATTAGTCCTGACTAGAACCAGGAAGTACGACCACATTAGTCCTGTCTAGAACCAGGAAGTACGACCATATTAGTCCTGACTAGAACCAGGAAGTACGACCACATTAGTCCAGTCCTCAGGTCCCTGCACTGGCTTCCTGTGGCTCAGAGAATAGACTTTAAAACAGCTCTGCTTGTTACAAGTCTCTCCATGGCCTCGCACCAAAATATATTAGTGACATGTTAGTCCCATATGAACCAGCCCGGACTCTGAGGAGCACAGGGACTGGACTCCTGCTGGGACTCTGAGGAGCACAGGGACTGGCCTCCTGCTGGGACTCTGAGGAGCACAGGGACTGGACTCCTGCTGGGACTCTGAGGAGCACAGGGACTGGACTCCTGCTGGGACTCTGAGGAGCACAGGGACTGGCCTCCTGCTGGGACTCTGAGGAGCACAGGGACTGGCCTCCTGCTGGGACTCTGAGGAGCACAGGGACTGGACTCCTGCTGGGACTCTGAGGAGCACAGGGACTGGACTCCTGCTGGGACTCTGAGGAGCACAGGGACTGGACTCCTGCTGGGACTCTGAGGAGCACAGGGACTGGACTCCTGCTGGGACTCTGAGGAGCACAGGGACTGGCCTCCTGCTGGGACTCTGAGGAGCACAGGGACTGGCCTCCTGCTGGGACTCTGAGGAGCACAGGGACTGGACTCCTGCTGGGACTCTGAGGAGCACAGGGACTGGCCTCCTGCTGGGACTCTGAGGAGCACAGGGACTGGACTCCTGCTGGGACTCTGAGGAGCACAGGGACTGGACTCCTGCTGGGACTCTGAGGAGCACAGGGACTGGCCTCCTGCTGGGACTCTGAGGAGCACAGGGACTGGACTCCTGCTGGGACTCTGAGGAGCACAGGGACTGGACTCCTGCTGGGACTCTGAGGAGCACAGGGACTGGACTCCTGCTGGGACTCTGAGGAGCACAGGGACTGGACTCCTGCTGGGACTCTGAGGAGCACAGGGACTGGACTCCTGTTAGTGCCCAGAGTCAGAACTAAACATGGGGAGGCTGCTTTTCAGATTCATGCTGCTAAAATCTGGAACAGTCTTCCTGAAGATGTGAGACAGGCCTCCTCTCTGACAATGTTTAAAACCAGGTTAAAGACAGTTCTGTTTAGCTGTGCTACAACTGAGGGATTTTATACTTTTATCTTTCTTTTTAATGTTCTGTGATTATTTATGATTTTAATGCTTTCTTGTTTTGTTCAGCACTTTGAGTTGCCTTGTGTATGAATTGTGCTATATAAATAAACTTGCCTTGCCTTGCCTTTTTATGTGTGTGTGGTGCATTTTTTTTTCCAGTTACAGACATGAGGACATGTCTTGTTAAAGGGGGGAAGTATGTAAACGACTTTTTAGTATTATACTAGTGCACATGTGTGTTTCCTTGTGACCTATGTTTCACAGGTTTTTGGTCCTCTATAAATAAATGGGGACCTCACTTTTTGGGAGTCTCCAACTACAATTTGCCTCTTTCTGTGTCGCTCATCCCTCTCCCGTTGGTACGCTACAGTTGTTTTTATTGCACACAAAAAGCTTGTTGTAGAGCTGCTGCTCCGCCACATTGAGAGGAGCAGAGTGCACTTCATGAAGTGACTACCCATGTGTTTGAGGAGGCCCCTGGTTTTTTGTAGTATTAGGTGTCCTTGATAACATACTAAAAGTTTACCAAAGTTTGACCACTAGAGAAGTGTAATTTTCAAGATGGGCAGGAAGCCCTTGACATAACTCTATGTCTATTTGACCTAACCAAGTCATCTTGGTGTTTTCTGGGTCTATAAATCCATTGGACTTGTCCAAATTGCACTGAGATTATTACATACTTATGGAGTACATGATCTACTATTCACGTAAAAGGACGGCATCTTCCATAGATCAGCTCTGACTTAATTAATCTTTTTAAACGTCGAGACCAAGTTTGGACTAAGTACAGAAAGTCTAAGGACCCTAACGACTGGAGATCTATAGACAACTCAGGAATCAATCCTAAACCCAAACTAGGAATGCCAAGTCCAATCACTATAAACGGCACGGTGGCTGAGTGGTTAGCACTCTTGCCTCTCAGCAAGAAGGTCCTGGGTTCGAATCCCGGTCGGACCAGGGCCTTTCTGAGTGGAGTTTGCATGTTCTCCCCGTGTCTGCGTAGGTTTCCTCCGGGTACTCCGGTTTCCCCTACCACTAAAAATATGTCCAATAGTTCTAGCATGTGCTTCCTGTACTGGCCCCACTCCCATCTCTGTGTGGAGTGAGAGACAAATGCCCAAAAATTAACAATTGTAAACCGCTTTGAGACTCAGATCTGCAGTGAAAAGGCGGTATATAAATAAAAACTTACTTACTTACTATAAGGAAGCCCTCGGTCTGAAGAACTACAATAATCCTAAACAAATTTGGAAACACCTGGACCAGCTTCTGGGTCGGTCCAAAGGAAACTGAACCATGTTACTGTTAATAATACTACAATTACTGATCTTAACTTAATCTCTGAATGCTTTAATGAATATATCTCCACCAAGATACACCGCACTCTGGTCATCCATACTTACCTAATCCACTAATTGGCATTGTTCCCGAGACATTTTCTTTTTAATTAGATTTCACATTTGGATGCAAAACAAGCTATAAAGAAGCTTAAGCTAACAGTGCGGCTGGTCCAGACGGCTTAGAAGTAAAATACCTTTTATTGGGATCCAGTGTGTTTATCTATCCACAAACCGACCTGTTTAACGTGACACTAAGAACGTGCTCTGTCCCTCTCATTTGGAAACTGCAATGGTCACTCCCATCTCTAAAGGTGGAGACCACTCCGATGTAAGGAACTATCGGCCCATCTCTACTACGAATAGGCACTATCACTAAAATAATGGAAAAAATCATTTTCTGCCATCGGCTTCCAGGCTGGCTACTCTAATCCTGAGGCACTACTTAAATTTACAATGATGTTTTCCCGTCCATCCATCCATCCATTTTCTTCTGCTTCATCCGTTGCCGGGTCACGGGGGCAGCTGTCTAAGCAGAGACGCCCAGACTTCCCTATCCACACACACTTCCTCCAGCTCGTCCGGGGGGACCCCAAGGCGTTCCCAGGCCAGCTGAGAGACATAGTCCCTCTGTGTCCTGGGTCTTCCAGGGGGGGGCGTTCTCGCGGTGGGATGCGCCCAGGGAGGCGTCCAGGAGGCATCCGGAACAGATGCCCGAGCCACCTCAACTGGTTCCTCTCGACGTGGAGAAGCAGCGGCTCTACTCCGAGCTCCTCCCGTGTGACTGAGCTCCTCACCCTATCTCTAAGGGAGCAGCCACTCTGCGGAGGAAGCTCATTTCGACCGCTTGTATCCGCGATCTCGTTCTTTCGGTCATTACCCAAAGCTCATGACCATAGGTGAGGGAGGGAACGAAGACTGACCAGTAAATCGCTGCACCGATCCGCCTGTCAATCTCACGCTCCATCCTCCCCACACTCGTGAACGAGACCCCGAGATACTTGAACAACAACATCTCCACCCACCCGGAGAGGGCACGGCACCTTTTTCCGGTCGAGCACCATGGCCTCGGATTTGGAGGTGCTGATTCTCATCCCAGCCGCTTCGCACTCGGCTGCAAACCGTCCCAGTGCATGTTGCAGGTCCTGGTTCGTTGGAGCCAACAGGACAACATCATCCGCAAACAGCAGAGATGAAATCCTGTGGTCCCCGAACCGGACCCCCTCCGACCCCTGGCTGCGCCTAGAAATTCTGTCCATAAATACAGTGAACAGAACCGGTGACAAAGGGCAGCCCTGGCGGAGGCCAACATGCACCGGGAACAGGTCTGACTTACTGCTGATGCGAACACAGCTCTGGCTCCGGTCATACAGGGACCGGATGGCCCTCAGCAGAGGACCCCGGACCCCATACTCCCGGAGAACCCCCCAAAGGACACCCCGGGGAACACGGTCGAACGCCTTCTCCAAATCCACAAAGCACATGTGGACAGGTTGGGCGAACTCCCATGAACCCTCGAGTATCCGATGGAGAGTATAGAGCTGGTCCAGTGTTCCGCGGCCGGGACGAAAACCACACTGCTCCTCCTGGATCCGAGATTCAACAATCGGTCGAAGTCTCCTTTCCAGTACCTTGGAGTAGACCTTACCGAAGAGGCTGAGGAGTGTGATCCCACGATAATTGGAACACACCCTCCGGCCCCCCTTTTTGTAGAGAAGGACCACCACCCCGGTCTGCCACTCCATTGGTACCGCCCCCGAGCACCACGCGATGTCGCAGAGACGTGTCAGCCAAGACAGTCCTACAACATCCAGAGACTTTAGATCAGGGGTCTCAAACCGGTTCCAGAAAGGGCCATGTGGCTGCAGGTTTTATCTCCAACAGTTCCAAACTGAGCAGGAGCACAGATGACTCCACCCATTTCCTCGGGTGAGTCCAGTTTAAACCTGAAGATGAGCCATATGGCCCTTTCTGGAAACGGTTTGAGACCCCTGCTTTAGATAGTCAGGACGGATCTCATCCACTCCCAGGGCCTTGCCACCAAGGAGGCTGCCAACAACCTTTGTGACTTCAGCCAGGGAGATGGAAGCATCCGTTTCGGAGGCAGAGGCTGAGGATGTTGTCCCTTCCTTTACCCTTCCTCTGATAATAACCAGTACACAGGTGGCATTTTTCTTGATCTCTCCAAGGCTTTTGATCTAGTAGACCACTATTTACTTTTGGACAAACTTTACTCAATAGGTCTCAGTAGAAATGCTCTTTTATTGTTCAATGCTTATCTTCACGATAGTAGTTTTTAATGGTTCTCAAACTGGTCTCTCTATCATGGAAAAAGGAGTACTACAGGGCTCCACCCTTGGACCTCTTTTTTTTTTCTATCTTCATCAATGACCTACCCCAAGTGTGCAGTCATTGCCAGACTCATCTATTTGCTGATGTCTGTCAGGTGCAAACTTACCACAACTGCAAATGTATTTACAAGAGGACTTTGATTCAATTCAAAAGTGGCTCAACAAATATGCTAAAACTAAACATGAACAAATCTGCACACATGCTCTTTGAATAAGAGGAAACAACGGAAGAAAATAGAAAGAGATATGTATAAATAATAAAATAATAATTAAAAAAAAGGGGTTAGCAGTACTAAGCCTTCACGCTGCAACCCTGCTTTACTAATTTTACAGTACCACACAGTTCTAATGAATTTATTCTTTATTTGAATCAAAATAATGGTTATGAACCACAGAAACCACCAACACTGGAAAAACAATATGATAAAAGAGAAATATTGGATTACTTAAAGGCAATTGTACTTCTTTTTTGCATACATATGCTTATAACCAATTGCTTTAATTAGGCGCGAGCCCCAACTGGGGTAAGGGCCTATTGCTTTTCCAACGAGTAATGCCTGGGCGAAATTCGGTACACATGTTCCTCAGGTCAAGACATGAAAAAAAAGTTATAATGGCTCCGCCCCCTGACAAACAGGAAGCTCATTAATTTCAATGGGAAATGAAAAAATGAAAATTGATATTTTTCACACATGTCGGTTGGAAATGATCTCCTCCTCGGCCGTTTCACCGATTTGTCTCAAAATCGTTCCACATGGTCTAAACACATGTACCATCTATTATTGAATATAGAATTTGGATCAGTTAAACGTTGTCCGAGCAGCGGAGCGGCAAAATGTGACATTTTTTTTCCAATTTTTGACAAAAGTAAATTTCTTCCATTTGCACAAACAAAGTCTGATTTGCACAAAATTTTAATCCAATGTTCAGCTCCAGGGTCTAGGTCATTGGAAAGTTGAAATAATGAAATTGGCTCATTAGCGCCCCCTACAGACTATGTCAAAGTTTTACATGGGCCTAATAAAATTTAGTTATTTCAAAATGTTTGAAATTTTGCACATAATTCTGTTTCGTCATCTGGATTCAAAAAGTCAATGACTACATATGTTTATTTTTTACCCTGTTGCCGTGGCGACGACCAGCACTCCCCTGTCTGTGTTTATGGGAAAATCATTTTATCTCTGAAAAGTACACCTCGCTCAAACATCAAACCAGCCACGGCCGTTTCACTAATTTGGCTGAAAATCGCTCCACATGGTCTCAACACATGGACCATCAATAGTTGAATATAAAATTTTAATTAATCAAACGGTCTCAGCGTGACAGACTCCCTAAGTGTGGTTATTTTCATAGAGAAGTGTGAAGGTCCCATGTTATCTAATGGAGACTGTATGGACACACTCACAGATTGTATGAACAAACAGGAGCACATTTACAAACTCTGATTTGCACTAAACTTGACTCTGTTGTTCAACTCCTGGGCCTAGGTCACATGACAGTGTGAACAATGACATTGGCCCATTAGCGCCCCCTACAGGCTGAGTAAAGGTTTACATGGGGATAAAGGTATTTAGGTTTTATGTTATTCAATCCCATATTTGACCCACTGAACAAACACAAAAACTCACCAAACGTTGCCAAAAAAAAATTCAGGCATAGAGTGTATTATTTTGTTGTTCTTTGGTGCAACGCTCCTGTGGACCTGCAGGAGGGTCAGTGAAGGGCTGGTGCTCTGTGTACTGGGTGCAGCTCTGACTGCCACCCCCCCGACCCAGAAATGGATTAAGGGGAAGAAAATGGATGGATGGATGGATGGTGCAACACTAAAAAATTTAAATTGTAGGGGGCGCTATTGTACAACATTGAATAACACCATTTGCACATAAGTCAGATTTGCACAAAATTTGATTTGACAGTCCAACTCTTGGGTTTGAGTAAACTGAAAGTGTAAATCATGAAAATGCATTATCAGCGCCTCCTACAGACTGATTCAAGTGTTACATGGGGAAGTTTGCCTCTTGAATACAGACAATCACTGATCATAGGAGTTAAAAATGCACAGTGTCGCTCCCATCAGGGCGGTAGGAAAATGGCGCATCAGCGCCACCTTGGTTGCGTTGTGCGGCGAGGGCCGTTCGACGCCGCTTGCGGCTTTAATATATAATTGTACTTGTAATCACTTATTTTTCATGCAAATATACTAATTAGAATATTATATGACCAAAACAGATATCAAACACCAGTATTCCTGGTCTAGGAGAAATACAAAGGGGTAATGGTCATTTTAAGGACCTGATGGCCTGTCCCTGAACGTAGCGCTGCAGACAGAGGACCTGATGGCCTGTCCCTGAACGTAGCGCTGCAGACAGAGGACCTGACGGCCTGTCCCTGAACGTAGCGCTGCAGAGGACCTGATGGCCTGTCCCTGAACGTAGCGCTGCAGACAGAGGACCTGACGGCCTGTCCCTGAACGTAGCGCTGCAGACAGAGGACCTGACGGCCTGTCCCTGAACGTAGCGCTGCAGACAGAGGACCTGACGGCCTGTCCCTGAACGTAGCGCTGCAGACAGAGGACCTGATGGCCTGTCCCTGAACGTAGCGCTGCAGGCAGAGGACCTGACGGCCTGTCCCTGAACGTAGCGCTGCAGACAGAGGACCTGACGGCCTGTCCCTGAACGTAGCGCTGCAGACAGAGGACCTGATGGCCTGTCCCTGAACGTAGCGCTGCAGGCAGAGGACCTGATGGCCTGTCCCTGAACGTAGCGCTGCAGAGGACCTGATGGCCTGTCCCTGAACGTAGCGCTGCAGACAGAGGACCTGACGGCCTGTCCCTGAACGTAGCGCTGCAGACAGAGGACCTGATGGCCTGTCCCTGAACGTAGCGCTGCAGACAGAGGACCTGATGGCCTGTCCCTGAACGTAGCGCTGCAGAGGACCTGATGGCCTGTCCCTGAACGTAGCGCTGCAGACAGAGGACCTGACGGCCTGTCCCTGAACGTAGCGCTGCAGACAGAGGACCTGATGGCCTGTCCCTGAACGTAGCGCTGCAGACAGAGGACCTGACGGCCTGTCCCTGAACGTAGCGCTGCAGACAGAGGACCTGATGGCCTGTCCCTGAACGTAGCGCTGCAGGCAGAGGACCTGATGGCCTGTCCCTGAACGTAGCGCTGCAGACAGAGGACCTGATGGCCTGTCCCTGAACGTAGCGCTGCAGACAGAGGACCTGACGGCCTGTCCCTGAACGTAGCGCTGCAGGCAGAGGACCTGATGGCCTGTCCCTGAACGTAGCGCTGCAGACAGAGGACCTGATGGCCTGTCCCTGAACGTAGCGCTGCAGACAGAGGACCTGACGGCCTGTCCCTGAACGTAGCGCTGCAGACAGAGGACCTGATGGCCTGTCCCTGAACGTAGTGCGCTGCAGGCGGTGACGCGCAGCGCACCTGATGGAGATGCTCAAAAGACCCAGGCCCATACTCCCATACTCATTACATGGCCGCCATTTTGAAAATGAGGCCTTTTTTGGAGTCAATCTTTGATAAACTATTAATATGTTTTTAAGTACATCTGATACTACTGTAAACCACTGAGAAACCTTTTGTTAGAATTTTTTTGGGGTCAAGTCAAGCTGACTACTAGAGCTTCGCGTGGTCTCGTTTGGACGAACGAAGGAGTAGAATTATCCTCTGTGCCGCGCTGGAAGCCCATGAAGCTAGTTAGTGTGACCGCCGCCATTGTTGTTTACGTTTGTTCTATGCTACTGCGCATGTCCAAATGTACGTGCGGGGAGCAGGGGGGAGGCAGGGTCTCCCTCTCGCGGGTGTGAAAGAGAGCCCCTGCTGAGCAGCGTATCTGAGTTGTCCCACTCTTACGTTTTGACCCCCTGGAACACAGTCTTCGTATGAACAGTTGGTAGCAACCAGTGGGGGCGGGTCCCGGCTCAAAAGTGGCCGAAATGACGTGCGCTGACATGCTGCAATACCACCCCAGGCCTGTGGGGGTGGACCCAGAAGAAGAATTAGCCAATGCTAACATATAGCATTAGCAGACCTCTGGAAAACGTCTTTACAGGATGGACCAAAAGTGTCTCTTGGTCCAAAGCTCCGTTCCACATGTGTGTCAATGCTGAGTGTTCTGGACCAGTCTAGTTTAGTCGCTGTGGACTTTAGAAGTCTCTCGTTCAAATGAATGGAGCTGCTCCGGCTGACGCATGCGCAGATGCGTTTTTTCACAATTTTCTTGTGGGCGGGACCACTCGCGGCCATTTTGAATAGCTCCAGTAGAGCACATTTTTTGGCCCATTAGTTAGAACGGCGCAGATAGGCGTGTTTTACTGCCACATTGTCTCCGTGTAAACTCAGATGAGACACGTCACTGATGATGTCTGAAGCCTCGGGAGAACAGGAAATGGAGCGATTCATGGTTTGTCTTGATGATTAAGTTTGTGAATGAGATCATATTTATATTAAATATATAATAAATGTAAATAACCAATACATTGAGAAATTATTGATTTTAAAACAATTGATAGGGTCACAATTGTCTTTTGTCCTACTGGAATTATTTCATTGGATTTGACTTCTAACTAACTTCAAACTATATCCTATCCTAACTATCCTTACAGCGAGTTCCTAACAGAATTCTCTGACTTCATTTCAAACCTAGTTTTGGAATGGGAAAACATAGTTATAGCTGGAGACTTCAATATACATGTGGACGACAGCACTGACAGCTTAAACAAAGCTTTCAGCGCCGTACTAGATGGTGTTGGTTTTACTCAGAATGTTGAGGAACCTACTCACATTCATAACCACACCTTGGACCTTGTCCTGACCTACGGCTGTGATGTCTCCAATGTTGACATCCAGCGTCAAAGCTCGTTGCTGTCTGACCATTTCTTGATCACGTTTGATCTCGCTTTGGAGGACTTTCCTGTCCCGCAAGATAAAACCATAATGAAAAGAACCTTAAATGATAAATCTATCACAAGGTTCAAAGAACTAATACAGCCTATGTTGAATACTGCTGCAGGTGAACCTGTTCACAGCAGCTGCAGTCCCTCAGTCATTGACCAAACGGTGGGCAACACTATGGAGTCTTTAAAATCTGCATTAAATGCAGCAGCTCCTTTAAAACAGAAAACCATTAGGATTAGATCATCGTCGCCCTGGTACAGTGTTCAACTCCACACTTTAAAACAGGACGTCAGAAAATTGGAGAGGCTATATCGCCACTCCCACTCGGAGCCTGTCCACAGGGAGTGGAAAGCAGGTCTCCGAAACTACAAGAATGCCCTTCGCGGGGCTCGAACTCAATACTATTCAACTTTAATAGAAGCGAATAAAAACAACAGTAGATTTTTGTTTGGCACCGTCGCTAAACTCACAAACTGCCATAGCGCAATCGAGCCTAAAATTCCAAGCTCACTGAGCAGTGTCGACTTTCTCCACTTCTTTAATAATAAAAATTACATCCATCCGTGACAAGCTGGAGGAGGTTGCTCCTGCTGTTAGTGGTGGACAGGTTGAAGCGGCATACGTGACTTCCCACTTAGACTCTTCAGTGGGCCTTGATAAATTCATGGCTGTGAGCCAAGCAGAGGTGATCTCTGTGGTCACATCCTCAAAAGCCTCAACTTGCATGTTAGACGCAGTCCCGACATGGCTCTTCAAAGACATACTTCCTTTGATAATTGAGCCTATCGTAAATATAATAAACGCATCCATACAATGTGGCTATGTCCCACAAGCTTTTAAAACCGCGGTAATCAAACCCCTTCTGAAGAAAACAAACCTGGACCCAGAAATACTTACAAACTACAGACCGATCTCAAACCTCACTTTTATATCTAAAATCCTGGAAAAACTTATAGCTGAGCAGCTCCGCTGCCACCTGCAGGAAAATGATATGTTTGAAGTCTTTCAATCAGGATTCAGAGCTCATCATAGCACTGAAACGGCACTAGTCAAAGTCACAAATGACTTACTACTAGCTGCTGATAATGGACAAGTGTCAGTGCTGGTCCTACTGGACCTTAGTGCTGCATTTGACACAATAGACCACAGCATTCTACTGCAGAGGCTAGAATGTGATATAGGTCTTAGAGGAACAGCCCTTGGCTGGTTTAAATCCTATTTATCAGATCGATATCACTTCGTCAATGTGAATCAGGACTCGTCGCCTTATTCTGGAGTGGAATTCGGTGTGCCGCAGGGTTCGGTACTCGGACCGATTCTTTTTACTCTCTACATGCTGCCACTGGGAAACATTATTAAAAAGCATGGAATTAATTTCCACTGCTATGCAGATGACACACAGCTTTATCTGTCGATGAAGCCTAACCAGACAGATCAGCTAGGAAAGCTCAGTGCCTGCATAAAGGACCTTAAAATGTGGATGACTCTTAACTTCCTACTTCTCAACCCGGAGAAGACAGAAGTGATCCTACTCGGTCCGAAGCGCCTGCGTGACTCCCTCACTAACCAGATGGTTACTCTCGATAATGTCAGTATAATACCCAGTAACACTGTGAGGAATCTTGGAGTCATTTTTGACCAAGAACTCTCCTTCAAGGCTTATATAAGCCAAGCAACTAAAACGGCGTACTTCCACTTACGGAACATCGCTAAAATTAGGAATTTCCTTCCTAAAAGTGACGCGGAAAAACTCATTCACGCGTTTGTCACCTCAAGGCTCGACTACTGTAACGCTTTACTGGCAGCGTGCCCTAAAGCCTCTTTGAAGAGCTTCCAGCTCGTTCAGAATACAGCAGCTAGGATCTTAACAGGTACCAAAAGGAGGGAGCACATAACTCCGGTGTTAAAATCACTCCACTGGCTCCTGTGGAGTACAGAATAAAGTTTAAAATCCTTCTCTTAACATATAAAGCCATAAATGGCTTGGCTCCCTCTTATCTCCAAGACACGTTAGTGTCGTATCAACCAAGTCGAGCGTTGCGCTCACAAAACGCCAGACGTCTGGTGGTCCCTAAGGTCTCAAAGGTCACTGTTGGTGGCAGAGCATTTAGCTACCAAGCTCCTTTACTGTGGAATCAGCTTCATTTATGTTAAGGAAGCAGATACGGTCTCCACATTCAAGGCCAGGCTTAAAGCACTCTACTTTAATTTAGCATATAATTAGGTAATATATAATATGTAGTGTATATATTATATATATATGCTGTATTATGTTATATATTATGTTATATATTATTCAATAATGTATTGTGTTATGTTGTATATTATGTTATATATTATGCTGTATGTTATTCTTTATTCAAGGCTAGGTTTAAAACAGTCCTCTTTAGTTTAGCATATGGCTAGGAAGGTAAGACTCGGAGAAGGTTAAACTCCTCAGAGTGTCAGTCAAGCTGCATAGGGAGTCAGTTTGCTGGGAGAAGTATGGTAACTTGAGCACTATCCTCTCCTCCTTCCTACTTTATCTGTTTAGCATTTTTAGGATTCTGACTGTAGTTTGTTCATTGCTATTCACCCGTTGTCCCATTGTCTGTTTCATGGTACGATGACGGGATCTCTGAGCCTGGCCTCCTCCATCTACACCTGCGGACTGCCCCGCCCGACCCGCCTGGGAGTGCTTCGGTCCTGCACCGGACCTGTCCACGTTCAGCGTCCACTGGTCCACGTTCTGTAGCTAGCTTAGGTCCTAGATCATTAGCCTGTCCGTCCGGAGGAGCGGATCCCTTTCTCATATGGGTCTCCCTCCCTGTGGGTTTCCCTAGTGCTCCCCAAGGTTTCTCACGTTTTCCCACTGGGTTTTTTAAGAGTTTTTCCTTGTCGATGCAGGAGGGTCTTGTTGGACAGTTAGTGTCCAACAGAAAGGATTGGTGATGATCAGGACACTTTAGCATTCTACAACATGTATGGACATTTTCTTCTGTGTGTGCTTTATATTCTTCATGTGTTTTAACTGTTGACCTCTGACCTGTGTTGGTGATTTCAATGGTTTTGTTAAGTCTCTGAGATGATACTGTTGTGACCTAGGGCTATACAAGAATACATTGTAAATTGTATTGTATATCATGTGTGTTGTATAAATTAGAGCAGACTACTGTACCAGTTATTTTATTGTCATTTAAAATATATTTGTTATTACTACTGATATTGATCATAATCAAACATCAACATTTTATTTCTGTCTCCAGTATTAATTCTATGCACCCGGAGCCTCACAGTTTAATTGTCAATACAGATTTTGACCAACAGGGGGTTTGTGAGCACACGGTGGCTGAGTGGTTAGCACTCTCGCCTCTCAGCAAGAAGGTCCTGGGTTCGAATCCCGGTCGGACCAGGGCCTTTCTGAGTGGCGTTTGCATGTTCTCCCTGTGTCTGCGTAGGTTTGCATTACATCATAAACAGCTGAGGCAGTGTTTGCAGTGCGGCTGAAACTCACACAGCTGATAGACTAAATGCAGCTCTCAGCACTTTCTGGAACATCTGCTCCACTTCCCATTCAGGA